ATCTCAACCACAAATCAACGGATAAATTAGAAAATTAATAATTATGGTAGTTTGAGTTAAAATTATAATTAGAGAGTATATTATGTATTTTTTTAAAAATTCTCTCTCCTCTCTCCGACCTCCAATCTTCGGCCTCCGGTGAAATTGGTATCACAGTATATCACAATGGGTATCACATTGTTTATTACACTGGGTATCACATTGTGTATCTTTGTTTTTAAGGTTTGAGTTGATATCATAGTTGGTATCACAAGGGTATCACAATGGGTATCACATTGTGTATCTTTGTGATTACTTGGTACCTGCCGGATTAAATGTTCACCAGAGGCCGGAGATTGGAGGTCGGAGAGATGAGAGAGCAGAGAGGAGTTTTTTCTAAAATACCTAAAATGTCATCTAATTATAATTTTAACTCAAACTACTATAGTTATTAATTTTCTAATTTATCTGTTATTTGTTGTGAAGATTGAATCTCACAGTTACCACAAACTAATCAGTTATCCCAAATGGTCATGTATATATATATACACACGTGATTGCAAGAAGCACAGGAAACACACCATCTTCAACTTCGGCCGGTGGACTCCGCCAAGTCCAATGAATACGGCACCGGAAGTTCCTGCAATCCTCGTTCTCGGCCCGCCGCTCGTTTTTAAAGCCTACGAGACCGAATTTTCAGAGAAATTCAATTTCCTGAAACCATGGGAAAACCCTATTCCTCTCCACCAATTCATTTCCACTCATTCAGCTTCTGTGAAAGCCATTTTCTGTTCTGCTGTGGCTCCGGTTACCACCCAGATTATCCAAAGCCTGCCTGACCTCCAATTTGTGTTGGCCAGTTCCACCGGCGTCAACCATATTGACCTCCGAGAATGCAAACGCCGTGGGATTGTTGTGGCCAATGCCGGATCAACTTTTTCCGACGATGTTGCAGACATGGCGGTAGGGTTGTTGATTGATGTGATGAGAAGAATCAGTGCTGGAAATCGGTTTGTGAAGTCTGGGGCTTGGCCTCGGGAAGGAGACTACCCTCTCGCCCATAAGGTTCCTTTGCTTCTTCTTATCATATCATGTTATTTTTAAATCTCTAAAAAATTGTTCAACATGTCTTAAATTTATAGAATTACAATAATACATTTTTAAGATTCAAACAAATTTTTTAAGAAATAAATCGTCACATTAGTTTTTTTATACGCTGTTTTATATATATGTATATTATGTTTAGCCAAGTTTAATTTGAACTTCCTTGAAACCTGATTTTTCTTTTTTGTAGTTTTTGTGTTATCTATTCTTAACCATCATTTACAACCGCTTAMGATTTCCAGTTAGGTGGCAAGCGAGTCGGGATTGTTGGGCTAGGAAGCATCGGTCTCCATATTGCCACAAGACTTAACGCCATGGGTTGCATCGTCTCGTACACTTCAAGAACCATGAGACCACACATTCCATTCCCTTTCTATCCTGGAATTCACCAACTTGTTGCCAACTGTGAGATACTGTTGATTTCGTGTGCGTTAACAGAGCAAACGCATCACATGATTGACCGAGAAGTAATGTTGGCCCTAGGAAAGGAAGGAGYTATCGTCAACACTGCACGAGGAGCAATCATCAACGAGAAAGAACTAGTGGAGTGTTTGATTAATGGGGAGATTGGTGGTGCAGGTTTAGATGTTTTTGAAGACGAGCCCAACCTCCCAAAAGAGCTTTTTGCATTGGAGAATGTGGTACTGACACCCCATCATGGTGCCATCACAGAGGAGGCGTGTCAAAAGCTTTATAATCTCGTATGTAAGAATCTTGATGCGTTCTTATCAAACAAACCCTTGGAGTGTGAGATATTGGACGACTGAACTTGTTTAATGTTACCGACATATATGTTATTCGAAAATAGATTTGTATGATATGCATAAACTTCACATCTMTCCCCACACATTTCTTATTTTTGAGCACTTGTTAAATGTAATGTGATTTTTTGGTTTATTTTAATGAGTTTCACCATTTATAATATAAA